AGCAGGAATCCTCAGTGTCTGGTTGACCTGCAGGCCCAGGCTCAGGGCTCCCACTGCAGAGATGCGGTTGTTGCTGCAACAGAAAGGCGTGTGCATGGTACTGCCTTGCAAACAACTGTGCAGAGCCAGGTTGCCCCCAGGGTCTTGGCTGGAGCTGCTGGTGCAGCCCCCAGGTCCAGCTTCACGCACACGCCGGGGGCCCTGGGCAGGTCAGTGTGTAAAAGCTTCATCGGAGGCTTCGGTGTTCAGGGAGATTGCCCAGCAAACACACCTAGAGTGTTATTCCCCCCACCTCCCGCACCAGCTGCTGCTCCCTGGCCCTCAGCACTCAGCAGGTGCTCCCACGCATCCTGCCCCAGCTGGCACCCTGTACCTATCCCCATGACAGCCACCCAGCTCCCTCCCCACCTCTTCCTACTCCTGATGGGCACAAACTCCAGGCCTCAGCACTGCTCTCGGCCACTCTGTCTCCACAGTCAGCCCCACGTCCCTCTAACTTAGACCCCAGCTTGACCTTGAATTTCAGCATCTCTCCTCTGGCCATGGCTCCTTCCATAAGGAGGAAAAGTGGGCAGGATGGAGCACATGTCCCTGCCAATGGCAGGCAGGCCCAGCTTATTCCGGCAGCCCTGGCGTGAGACTCAGCCGCAGTAGCCCATGACCTGTCTGGCCTCTGCCTCTTCCGTTCCCTCTGGGCTGTGGCTCCCGCTCTGGTTTTCCCAGGAGGCCTGGGACCCTGCCAGGGCCTGAAGGAGCAGTCCACCCATGGCAGGCCCCCTCAGCAGCCGTGTGCTGGGCAGAGAAGACCACTCCTCCTGAAATGGAGGAAAACTCGTGTGGAGCACACACCCCACCCACCCCTGCACCAGGCTCTGCTGAAGATGCCTTACGCGTTTGCGCTTCCCAGCCCCTGGCCTCGAGTCCCAATTACAAAGGAGGAATTTGAGTGAGAAGGACGGAGCTGGGCTGTGGCTGCAGCCCCACCATGAGTGTGTGTGGCAGGTTTGGGCACGAAGTGGTAAACAGCAGCAAGATGAGCCCCAGTCCCTGGGTGGCCGTGGGCCTGGAGGCAGGGGCGGGGCACCCCGTGCTCTCACCTCGTGTAGACCTCCACCAACATGTTGTTGGTCTTGAGCCCTCCCCCAGTGCGGAGGCTCCTGGATCCCCACAGCCATTATATACGAGATGTCCAAGACCTTCAGGAAGATGTTTGACTGGGATGCAAAGCAGCAACCCCATGGGACCACATGTGAAGGTGGAGGAAGCCAGTCCCCAGCCTCCAAGCCCAGGAGGCCCGAGGAGCAAAGAGCATGGACAGAGAGCAGAAGACCACAGAGGTTCCAGAACAGAGCCCTGGGGCTTGGACGATGGTGACTGGCAGAGTGGAAAGACCAGAAGCAAGCACAGAGGGTGGGTGTGGATGTGAATGAGCCTCAGGACTGGGCCATCTTCCTCGGGCAGCAGGCCCCAGAGACACAGTGATCAAGCTCCACCCCCCCGACTGGGGACCTCTCAAGGGCAGGGCCCCCAAGGCACAGTGCAGCCCAGGGCCCAGAGGGCACCCCAGTGAAGGGCTATTGGATGAAACATACCCAGGGAAATGTGATGGGGAGGAGGGTGGGAGCTCGTGGGTGCCCTGGGGACACAGAGCCTGATCTGTCACCTTGGGGGGCAGGACCCCAGGTCAGCCCTGTCAGAGGGCAAGGCAGCGGCTGCTGTTCCCCGAGGAGGATCCCACAGAGGCAGCCGCCACCAGAAGCATCACAGGCGCCTGTGCTGCTCACTCCCAAGACCTACGAACCACAAGACCCAAGGGAGCAGGCAGGGTGTTTGAGAGTGTGTGCTGGAATCCCAGGGCGCAAGGCTGTCATCTCAGGGAAGCATCTGCATCTGCCCAGCGGTGAGCATGTGTCACTGGACTGCATAGTGTCCCCACCGGCCGCCTGTCTGTGATGTCTCAGAAGGTGTGCAACATTCAGCTGTGGACCCCTCACTTAGTGACATGAGAGTGGGCACAGGGAGACCACATGTTGTCGTCCTTAAGTAGAGCCAGGAAAATGAAAATCACCTGAAAAACATTCTTTGAGGGCTTCCCTGGTGGTGCAGTGGTTGAGAGTCCGCCTGCCGATGCAGGGGACACGGGTTCGTGCCCCGGTCCGGGAGGATCCCACATGCCGCGAAGCGGCTGGGCCTGTGAGCCATGGCCGCTGGGCCTGTGCGTCCGGAGCCTGTGCTCCGCAATGGGAGAGGCCACAGCAGTGAGAGGCCCACGTACAGCAAAAAAAACAACAAAACAAAACAAAACAAAAACATTCTTTGAGCTCTGCTGAAAAGATCCAAGACTCATTACTGAAGAGCTGCGAAAGATGGGGGGCTGGCGTCTGGGAGACCTGCCCCCAAAGTACAGGCCGGAGGGGCTTACTGGGCGAGGCCTCATACCTCTAGTACCCTGGCGAAGGCTACATTTCCTGGGCCTCGCAGGTAATTCCAGCTTATGTTAAGCTCAGTGAGTCCTGTGTTTTCTGCCAGGGCTGGTCCAAGCATCTCCCCTTCAGAAACACCAAGACAGACTTTTTATTCACTCTGTTCATTCCTTCAAAAAGTGATACCGATGCCCGCTGTGGGCTGAGGTCTCTGCTGCACACCAGCGTCAGGGCGTTGAACCCCACGTGGGCCTGCCCTGCCCTCAAGGAATTCATATTTATTGGAGAAGCTATAAATATAAATTAATGGGATGTTAGCTATTACAGACCACAACAGGGAGGTGTGGGGACAGAGTGGGGACCAACCCTGCCTAGGGGGTCAAGAAAGCAGAGAGAACCTTGAAGATTGAGGGACACACTGTGCACATGGGCAAGCACCGTGGAGAGTGGACCCGGGGAGGAGCGGATGTGCTTGTGGAAATGCACACAGGCCTGGCGCAGGGCTGGCCAGGTAAGCCAGTGGAAGAAGGTGGGAGTGACGGGCACTCGAGAGATGCGTTAAGAAGTGAGAAGGTGGGTGGGAGGGGGCGGAGACAAGAGGCCAGGGGACCAGTTGGATGGCTTGTGCCACTGTCTACGCAAGAGGTGACAGGGCCAGCACAGCTGTGGCAGCAAGGAGGCATTGGTGTAGAAAAGGAAAGAGCAGGGCTGGGTGGGTAAGAAAGCTGAGAGAGATTTTACACATAAAATGGGCAGAAGCCCTACCCACCCACCCCGCTTTCCACTGTCAACACTCAGCTGGTCTGACCTGCTCCCAGTTCTCAGCCTCCAGCTGACCCCCGTGTGGACCTGCTGATCCCTTTCTTCACCTGGATAAGAGCTCCTCATCCTCACCCTGTTCCGCCAGGCTGGGCCGGGCCACTGTGGACCCCACGTCCACTGTGCTTCCATCCTTCCGGGCTCTGGCTGTTAGACCTCTCTGCCTGGCCCGTCTCTCCCACACACCTGGGAGCCCCTGGGGGGATCTGAATCTGACCCCTGTCCATGGTGCCGGCACCCAGCACAGGCTGGTTTGAAGAAATGCCCAGAGCAGAGGGCTCAGCCGCCAGTTCCACAGAAGTGTTAGCACCAAGGAGAGCTCCCTGCAGGACAGTGAGGACTCCCTGAGCTGCCTCCCAGGGAACCTCCCAGAGAAGGGGGCTCACATCCTGGATATGACACCCGCAGGTTCTCAGACATGTACGTTGCTCTTCCTCAGACACTCCAGGGCTGGGAGAGGAGGGCAGTGGTCCGCCACTTTGCTGAACAGCTGGAGGGTGAGAAAGTTCTATACCCTTGAATGGGCCTCCTGTAGTTCCAATGCTTGTTCTTCATGACCCCTGCAGCCAACCCATGAGGTAGGTGCCACCGTTGCCTTGGGTCAGGTGGGGAGACTGAGACCCCTAAGGGAGTCTGTCCCACCCACAGATCCCCACTTGGGGAAACAGCCCATCCCTGCCATGCAGCCTTCGTGGGGCCTTGCCTTCCAGCCCCTCCATCCTCACTGCCTCTCCTGTGCTAACTCTCTGACCGTGCAGGCCCAGAGGGACGCCTACCCTTAGTTTGTTGAAAGTCTTAAATGAGCTTCTTTTTTTTTTTTTGAACTGTTTTTATAGTTACCTTTTTGTGTGTGTGTGTGGCTGTGTTGGGTCTTCGTTGCTGCATGCAGGCTTTCTGTAGTTGTGGCGAGTGGGGGCTACTCTTCTTTGCAGTGTGCAGGCTTCTCATTGCGGTGGCTTCTCTTGTTGCAGAGCACGGGCTCTAGGCACGTGGGCTCAGTAGTTGTGGCTCACAGGCTCTAGAGCGCAGGCTCAGTAGTTGTGGCACACGGGCTTAGTTGCTCCGCGGCATGTGGGATCTTCCTGGACCAGGGCTCGAACCCGTGTCCCCTGCATTGGCAGGCGGATTCTTAACCACTGAACCACCAGGGAGAGTTTCTCTCTCTCTCTTTTTTTTTTTTGGCAGTACACAGGCCTCTCACTGCTGTGGCCTCTCCCATTGCGGAGCACAGGCTCTGGACACGCAGGCTCAGCGGCCATGGCTCACGGGCCCAGCCGCTCCGCGGCATGTGGGATCTTCCCGTACCGGGACACGAACCCGTGTCTCCTGCATCGGCAGGCGGACTCTCAACCACTGCGCCACCAGGGAAGCCCGAGAGTTTCTCTTTTAATTTCACTGATTTCACAACAGTTTTCTTAGAAGGCAGACTGTCTCTCTGGCGGTTAAACTCTAGGGCTGATTCGCCCAAGCCAAGGCTGGCGCCACCCCCACTCACACTGAACAGTGATCCCCGAACTTTCTGGATCAGACAAATCTCCTGGGGCTCCTGTTAAAATGCAGATGCACCCACATCTCCCCCAAGAGGATACAGAGGTTCAGGAGGCCCAGGGCCACGGAATCTGTATTCCTAACCCAGGGTCCCAGGTGATTCTTAAAATCAATTGGGGTGGTTGAGGACAGGCAGGTAGAACTGCATGTTCCTGGCAAAGCAGCCAGCCCATGCAAAGGCCCTGGGGCATGAGCGAAAGTGGTAAGATCAAGGAATCCCACTGATGTCTTCCACAGCACTCGGAATGAAATCCTCCTGCCTTTTGCCATGATTTGTAGTTCTGCGGCCCTGCTGTCTCTCCATCCCACAGCTGGACCCTCTCTCCTGGCATAGTAGCCCAGTCACACTGGTGTCTGTGTGCCTGGGAAATAGTTCCTCATCTTGAAATGCTCTCCCTCTGGGCTTGCCATGTCTGATTCCTCCCCCATTGCACATTTCAGCTTAAACATCTCCTCCTCACAGAGTCCTCCCGAGTGGTGACCTCTCTAAAGCGGGGAGGGGCTCCACATTCGTCTCTAGAATCAAGCCCTGTTTGTTCCTTTTGTAACACAATAATTATGGAGAGTTATCTTGTTAACGTGTGTTCCTTGAGGGCAGGGACTTAGTATACTTCATGGCTGGATCCCTAGTGGCTGTCAGCACCCAGCATATGCAGTGGTGGGCAGTAAGACATTCGGGGAATGGGCCGAGTTCTGTACGGGGATGGGGGGGGAGCAGGATCCACAGCATGGATGCTCAGAGTGGTCCTGCCTACTCCACCCACCCTGCCCCAGGAAGATGGACATGAGTGCCACCATGGTCACCCTGGCCAGTGGCCGGATGTTACCTGCTTGGTCATTCAGCTGGTTATAGCTCAGGTGCAGGGGTTTCAGGCCTGTGTGGGCCAGCAGGAGTTCAGCAAGGTACTGGGTCACCTGCTCCTCCAGGCCGTTCCCTGCCAGCTGTGCCTTCTGCACAGCCGGGTTCACCGCCAGGGCAGCACAGACAGCCCAGGCTCCCACCACTCCCAGCTGGTTCTCCGACAGGTCCACATCTGGGGGCCAGCACCACTCCTTAGTGGTGGGATCCAAAGCCAGGCCTCACCCTCCTCCCTCCCGCACACCTTCCAGGCCTGACACAGCAGGAGGGGCCTTGCAGTCAGACTGTCCAGGGGTGGATGGACCCATCAGCTGGGTCCCCTCTGGCCCCAGGCAGCTTCCCAGACCTCAACCCCCACTCCATGTCTCCACGAGTTTTGTCAAGAGGCTAAAACCACCTACTTTGTGGGGTTGTGGAGGATGTCTGCGATGTAGATGCAGCCACCCCGCTGATGATTTGTGCCTGGCATAACACAGCCCACCCACAGAAGCCCCCACTGCCACATTTCCGGGGACTGGCAGTGACAGCCCAGGTGGCTGTGCGTGGAGCTCATATGTGAGCAGACGCTCCGCTGAGCATATGTTTCCCACATACCCAAGGTCTAAGTGGCATTGTTGGGCCCACTTCACAGATTGGAAACTGAGGCTCAGCAAGGTTGGCTCCTTGCCCAGGGTCACCCTGCCGCAGAGGCGGCATTTGACCCAGCCCTGACAAACTCCAGCACCCCGCCCCCCGCGCCCGGCCCCTGACCCTCTGTGCCGCACACTCCCACCTGCATTCAGGCACTGGGAGGACGACATATGCAGGGGTGCTGGCTAGCAGAAGAGGGTAGAGGAGGGGTCCAGCACTGGGTGCACCACAGAGGGTCTAACTCCACCCCACCCTCCCCACCCTGTGATGAGGCTCCGCCCCCAGCAACACTGGCAGGTCGGGGGGTGACAAGGCCCGGTGTGGGGGTAGCCTGCCCCCCTGTCCCAGGCACGGCACCTACCACAGATACTGCTTTTGCTCAGAGCACCTGCCAGGGCCTCCGTGCCGGCCCCACAGAACCCACTGTCCCGAAGTTCCAGCCGCTTGATGTAGGGATTGGAGGTCAACACAGAAGCCAGAGCCTGGGCAGCCTGGGGCAGAGAGGGGCCTGAGCCCTTCCCAGAGCTGAGGGCCCCAGATAGCTAGCCAGTACCCAGGCTCTGTTTGCAGGGCTCAGCCCACTCAGTGCCCTCCAGCTGGAAGGACCTCCCCTTCCCACAAGCCCAGGGACACCTGCTTCTCCTTATAGGCTCCACCCAGGAGCTTCGCTGACTCTCCAGCAAGTTATGGGCCCCTTGCAGGCTCCCCAGCCCTTGTACTGAACTTTGTCATAGCCCCAATCCCACCTGTCACCCATTGTGGGGGATGGGACATGCCTGGTACAGAGCAAGGCCGGGGAGTGTGTGGATGGGCTCAGGAAGGGACCACACCCATGGCTGCTGCTCCCAGGTCCTTGCCCTCCAAGCCTGGCCCCAGGATCCCTCCAGGGGTAGCTGGGGCCCCAGGCCACGGTGCTGCAGGTTGAGCTCTGGGGTGCTCCCTTGGCGCAGAAAGCAGGAAGCAGGCACAACGCTGTGGGCCCAGCAAGACCTCAGGTAGAGGGTGTCCTTGCCCAGTTCTCCAAGCTTATGGGTTCCTGATAGGAGACAGAGATGGATGTGGACCCCTCCCCTGCCTCCATCACTACGCAGCCTTTTTCCCCTTCTAGAGGCATTTCCTCCTGCTAGTAGGGACTGTTGCCCCCACATACAGACAAGGACATTGAGGCTCAGAGAATGCAAATCCCTTCCCCAAAGTCATGCAGCTTGTGGCAGCTGATCCTGGCCCTACCCTGCCTGTCTGACACCAAAGTGCATGCTGTCTCTTCCGCTGGATTGCAGACCACATACGCTTTATGAACATTTTATGGGGAAGGAAGCTGAAGCAATTCTAAGTTCTATACATCCATTACTTTAGTTTCTCCTGAGGGTTGGGAAAACCCAGCCCTGATCCCATGTCAGGGTGGGACAGCCCTTCTTACACTGTTTGGCAGGATTTTTGCATCTTAACATCATTCTGGAAGCCTGTTCTAATCGTGGAACTCCTGATGCCTCCAGGAACATCACGGAGATGGCACAGGGCTGGAGCGGCCGCCGGCTGCCCCGAAGGTGTCCACGGAGGGATGCGCTCCTGCTGGACAGGGTCCCCTGCCTACTTGGCCCCAGCCTGACCCCCGACCCGTAGGCACCTTCTTTCTCCTGGTCGGAGTTCGAATCTGCGTCCGAACACTTCTGGGCCTCGGGGACCCCTGCAGGACACCCAGCGGCCGCCGCCGCCCCTTCCTCCATCAATTCCTTCTCTCCAGGCCCCTCGCAGGGACCCCTCGTGGTTACTTCCACTCTGCACTGGCGGACACCGAGGCCGGGACTGCGAGGGCTGCGTCCCGAGCGCGGCCAGGGGATGTGGGCGGACCCTCCGGTGCATTGACCTATCGGATGCGATGCGTGGCGAACAGGCGCCCGCTGCAGCCAATAGAGAGCCTCCCGGGCGGCAGTTGTCCAGGCGACCCCGAGTTGTTGGTTGCTGCGGACAACGCTGCGGCCCCGGGCTGACCTTGACCCGCTCGCAGCCGGGACAGATTGGCGCGTGGCGGGCTTGTCTTCCCTTCGCCCTAGGCGGCTGCAGCATCGCCTCCTTTCCACTCCAGAAACTGGGGGTGGGGCAGCTCCTCGGGGGCGTCGCAGAGGAGGCTGGGGGACCTTGCAGGGCCTGGCCACCTCCTCTCTGGAGCCAGGGTCACGCTCCCAGCTCTCACACGCTCTAGCGTCGCAAATGTTGCTCCCTCCACCGAGAACATTCCTCCCCAATGCTGCTTGTTGAACTTAAGATCTGCAAGTGTCAGTTCAGAGGTTGCTTCTTCCGCAAGCTTTCCTTGTCCTCCTCTGGGCTCCTGCTGGCCCATGCCGCCCTCTCACAATACCTATCCCACCCGTCATCACCCCAAGGAGGTAAGGCCAGAGGACAGTGGACAGAGACTGCTCCTCTCTGTGTGTCTGGGGCCCAGCAGAGGGAGTCTGAAGCGGATGGGAGGCCCAGGGCAACTGGGGGTTGGGCCTGGGAGGTGGAGGCTGAATCTCGTCCTGAGTGTCCCTTTAATAGCTGCTGGCCTGGCCCGGCTTGGCGCCTGCTTTACCTCCCATTCAGCTGTGGCTGCAGCTGCTGTGCTGACTCACGCGCCCCAGCCGCCGGCAGGATCTGGGAGCATGGGCTCCCCAGGGGCCGTGGTGGGCTGGGGGCTTTTGGATTACAAAACAGAAAAGTATGTGAGGACCCGGAACTGGCGGGTGGGCGCCTTGCAGAGGTTGCTGCAGCTGGGGGTCGTGGTCTACGTGGTGGGGTAAGAGAATGGCTCCTGGGTGTGCTAGCCGGAGGGATCACAGCTGGTCCTGCTGGGCTGAGGGGTGAAGGTCTGACTCTTCAGGGGCTGGGCTGGTGGTCGTGGAGCAGGGCAGGAGGTGGGCAGAAGGAAGGCTCTCCGTCTGTCTAGAGGCCAGTGGGGTGTAAGAGCAGGTTGTGTGCTTGGGTGCCCTCCTGCATTCTTTCCTGTGCCTTGTTCCCAGCCCCATGTTGGGCTTGGGCACAGAGCAGGATGGGCCCCCATCCCTGCACAGGAGGCCCCCAGCTGGCAGGGGGTAGTCCCTGACACTTGTGAGAGCTGAAGCACTAAGGCCCCCAGTAGAGACCACCAGTTTAAGCTGGGTCAGGGTAGTCTTTAAAGAGGAAGCTGGGGGCTTCTCTGGTGGCGCAGTGGTTGAGAATCCGCCTGCCGATGCAGGGGACATGGGTTCGTGCCCCGGTCCAGGAAGATCCCACATGCCGCGGAGCGGCTAGGCCCATGAGCCATGGCCACTGGGTCTGCACGTCCGGAACCTGTGCTCTGCAACGGGAGAGTCCACAACAGTGAGAGGCCCGCGTACCACAAAAAAAAAAAAAAAAAAAAAAGAGGAAGCTGGATCTAGGCGGGGCAGGGGGAGGGGATTGGCTGGTGAAGGAGGTGGTGGTGGGCATCTCCAAGCCCATGGGTGCCTGGTGAGGGTACTGGCTCTCCTATGCATGGCCAGAGCCTCTGGCCTGTGCAGGGTGTTTGGTGTGGGAAATGAGGTGGGGAGGAGGTGGGGCCCCTGAATGCTGGCCTGGGAGCCTGGAGGGTATCGGGGGAGAGACTGAGCAGGTGGTCCCAGATCTGCCGTGTGCCGGGGACATACCATACCACCTGTTGCCTCCTCCTCAGGTGGGCCCTCCTCGTCAAAAAAGGCTACCAGGAGCAGGACCTGGACCCCCAGATTTCTGTCATCACCAAACTCAAAGGGGTTTCCGTAACCCAGATCAAGGAGCTGGGGAACCGGCTGTGGGATGTGGCTGACTTCGTGAAGCCACCACAGGTGGGTGACTTGGTGCTGCTGCCAGGTACTGGCACCTCTGATACCACCCCTGCACCGAGTGTGTGCAAGAGAGGGATGTGATGCCAGAGGATGTGCAGGTGCTGTCACAGGGCCACGCTCAGGAAGGGCCTTACAGAGGAGTGGTGTCTGGACAGGGCTTTCAGGGATGTGTAAGAGGTTTCTGTGCAGAGGAGGTGATGTGTCGGGAAGCCAGACCAGAGGGATGCATTTACAAAGTCTGCATCTGGAGTAGATAAAGAAGATGTGGTACATGTATACAGTGGGATATTTCTCAGCCATAAAAAAGAATGAAATAATGCCATTTGCAGGTACATGGATGGACCTAAAGAGGATCATACTAAGTGAAGTAAGTCAGGCAGAGACAGACAAATACCATATGATACCACTTATATATGGAATCTAAAATATGACACAGATGAACTTATCTATGAAACAGAAACAGACTCACAGACATAGAGAACAGACTTGTGGTTGCCAAGGGGGAGGGTAGTGGGGGAGGGATGGATTGGGAGTTTGGAATTAGCAGATGCAAATTTTATATACAGGATGGATAAACAACAAGGTCCTACTGTATAGCACAGGGAACTATATTCAGTATCCTGTAATAAACCGTAATGGAAAAGAAAAAAATAAATTAAAAGTCTGCATCTGGAAAGGAGAGGAGTGTCTAGGAGCTCAAGGCTTGAGCTTGAGGGTGGGGTGAGAGGGGTGGAGGGTGCCAAGACCTGGAGCTTCCTGGACGCCTCCTCTCTGACCTGGAACACTGCTGTCGAGTGCTCCTCCTCTGCCCCTCCCATGCTGCATTTCCGGCAACTTCTCCCTCCACCCGATTGTCCACAACCTTAGTTTCCTCCTCTGTCCTGCTGATGCCCAAATTCTAACCCCGGTGACCACCTGCCCTGAGCACAGCTGCCTCCTGGGTGCACACCTGCCACATCCAAAGAGAAATCATCTCCCTCTCCCAGTGTGGCCTTTTGTCATCCAATGACATCCACCAGTGCCGAGGCTGGACCTGCTGGATGCCTTACCGTCCCTCCCTCCTGTTCATTCCATTTCCTAACAGCTTTCACAACTGCTCACACCATCCCTGGATGGCTGAGGTCGTCTGGTGGGTCCCCATGTGGCAGCCAGGCTGAGCCTGCCAGCCCTTACCTTTGACCCTTAGGAGGCTTCCTTTCATGATGGTGGCCACGAAGCCCCTCTAGATCCTGACTGCCACCACACCGCTGCCTCTGCCTCTGCCCAGCCCTTGCCTCCGCTTCCTGGGCGTGCATCCCCAACACCCGCTGAGCTGTCGTGTGCAGCACAGAGGCGCCAGTCATCTTTTGTCCAGATAGAGCTTACCTCCGGCTCCCCTGGCCCCTGGCCATGCCTGCAGTGAGGGGCACACCTCCCCATTAGCCTGGATCTTCAGTGCCTGGAAGCAGGAGGCTCTTGGAAAATTCTGGTTGAGCAACTAAATGAATGTGAGAGGCACACATGGGCTCAGAAATGGCCAGCAGCCCAGCCAACCTCCTGTCTCTGCCTCCCTTGCGTCACTGGAGAGCGTTTTCCTGGGGCTCAGGGCTGATGACCCGATGGGGCCAGGGCCCCTTCCCACACAAGCCAAGCTGTCGGCTTCTGGCATCTCCCGATGGGAGTGGGGAGCAGAGACCAACCCTGACACTTGTCTTCTAGGGAGAGAACGTGTTCTTCTTGGTGACCAATTTCCTTGTGACGCCAGAACAAGTTCAGGGCAGATGCCCAGAGGTAAGGCTGCCTGAGGGCTTCCCAGCAGGTTCCTAGTTCCAGAATCTCCTGCTGCTGTCCCCCATGAGGTGTCCAGGCCCCTCCACATCCTGGTCCCACCTCTAGGCACTCTGGAGGTTGTCAGGGTAACACCCAGAACGGGGCACAGTGCTCAGGTGGACTCTTATAATAGCAAGAGGCAAGCTGGGGGACTTCCCTGGTGGTGCAGTGGTTAAGTATCTGCCTGCCAATGCAGGGGACACGGGTTCGATCTCTGGTCCCACATGCTGCAGAGCAACTAAGTCCCTGCGCCACAACTACTGAGCCCACGCACCATAACTGCTGAAGCCCATGTGCTTAGAGCCCATGCTCTGCAACAAGAGAAGCCACTACAATGAGAAGCCCACACCCCACAATGAAGAGTAGCCCCCGCGCGACACAACTAGAGAAAGCCCGCACGCAGCAACGAAGACCCAGTGCAAACAAACAAACAAACAAAAGAAACAGGCAAGCCCTTTTCTACGCACAGCCTCTATTAATGTGTGCTGGGGCAGTTTCCATTTTTGTGCGCAAACAGCACACTCCTGCTTATGCTGCGCTCAGGGTCCCTTATGGTCTCTGAGTACTTTTCACTACAACTGTGGTCAAGCCCGTCTCTGCCATCTTCAGATCCATTTCTTATCCAGAAATGCAGATCCTCCCCCTGAAATCTCACCTTTTCCCCTTGCCTAGGGATGTCCCAGGGATCCAGCCTCTGTCACAGAGCCCACTGACTCTTCTCTCCAGCTGTGGATTTTTTTCCAATTTTTTAAATTGTGATAACATACATGTAACATAAAATTTACAATCTTAACCATTTTTAAGCGTACAGTTTCCTAGCTGTGGATTTTGCTTGAACAGTCAGGAACCAGGACATAGCCTTGGAAGCCTACCTCCATGGTGACATCTTTCTTTAATCGAGGCTAAAAGTTAATTGCTTGCTGGGCTGGAGAGTAACTGTGTGGTCCCTGCCCCTAAGTCCTGGTCGTTGGTCCCACCACAGTTGCTGGGGATGTCACATGTCCCTGGTCAGCCCCATCCTCAGAGGAGGTGATGTGTGTGCACTGGGCAAATGCATGATGTCCTTCCCTTTCCAAATGCTCAGACGACGCCTATTTATTGTTCAGTGTGTGGACTGTCCTGAAATTTTTCTGGGGCCATGGTTCTGCATTTTCTGGAATCCATGGGATTCCTCTTTGCCCTGTATCCCGGCTTCTGGCTTGTCCCATGAAACTGACCACCAGATCTGACCACCCGGCTTCCTGAGAGCAGCTCCTCTGAGGGTCCTGGTCATCTGGTCCCTCCCAGCACACCGTGCTCCCTGTAGTGTTACAGTTTCAGAAACCTGCTGAGCCTCCCCCGGGGCTGTAGAAGTCCAGCCCGCATACGCCAAGGAGCTTCTGCACAGACGGCCCAGCCACGATGCCAGGTCCTGCGACAGGGGCAGAGGCTGCAGCTGGGAGCCCCAGGGAGGCGACTCCTCTGCCAGCTCAGGGCCTCAGGAAGGGTTTACCACTGGACTCAGAGACTCAGTCAGGATCTTGAGGCTGTCCAGGCAGAGGGGGCTGTGTGGGCAAAGGCCCCTGCTGTATGGGGTGAGGCATCTCTGGGGTCACCTGCTGCTCAGTGGGGTTGGAGCCTCTGGACTGGAGTGGGAAGGGTGGAGCCCAAGATATCAGGGTCCCAACAGCCCTGCTGTGGAGCTGAGCTTGATCACAGGAGCATGGGGGGCGCAGAGGGGCTCAGGGGAGGGGCGCTTCATCTTCTGTGCCTTGGGAGGGATGATTCAGGCTGCTGGATGGAGGAGGATGAGGCTGAGATGGGGACCCATGTTGGTCACCATGGGGTCTGGACAAAGGAGATGGTGGCCCAGCCAGGGTGGAGAAGAGGGGCAGATTCAGGACACAGGTAGGGACAGCAAGGCAGAGCAGGTGGCTCCACACTGTCCTCTGCCCTCTAATCACATTTGGCTCAGAGCCCCTGAGCCCTTCTTACCACCAGATGCTGTGTCCCCGCTGCTGCCCCTGAACTGGGTGCCCTGGGCAGCAGCGTCAAGCCTCAGCCAGGACAAAACTACAGAACTGCGTCCATGAGGCTGTGCCTTCCTTTCGGGGCCTGGGACCCCCAGAAAGCTCACCACCTTCCCCTCTTGGCTGATCCCCAGAACTCTGTCGCTGTGTGCAGGCACCTATGTCCCTGTTTTACAGAAGAACCAGCAGGGAAGGGAGGAGCCTGTGTACTTCCCAGGCCCCTCCCACCAGGGCCGCCCCCTTGGTCATCCCCCAGCACCTCCGCCCTGGCATGAACTCACCTTCCCCACCGTCCTGCCATCTTCCCTGTTCTGTCCTCTGAATTGGACCAGAGGAGCTGGGCCTGGATGAACCACTTCTTTTTTAAAAAATATTTATTTATTTATTTGGTTGTGTGGGGTCTTAGTTGCTGCAGGCGGTCTCCTTAGTTGTGGCTCGCCAGCTCCTTAGTTGCGGCATTCCAACTCTTAGTTGCGGCATGTTGGATCTAGTTCCCTGACCAGGGATCAAACCTGGGCCCCCTGCATTGGGAGCGCAGAGTCTTATCCACTGCGCCACCAGGGAAGTCCCCCTGGATGAACCACTTCTGCCCCCACAGAAGTAGCAGGGCAGGAGTCTTGCTCGGCCTTGGAATACAGCAATTGCACCCCTACCCAGCCAGGGCTGTTTACGTCCCCCTTTCATTTGCACCCTCCAGCTTTCTCTTGTGCCCCCAAACTCAGGAATCCCTGAGAGGCTAAGGCAGGGAGGGGCGTGTCCCTGTGGACTGCAGGGCAGGTCACAGAGGAGGCATCCCTTGGCCCTTGGCAAGTCTGCTCTCTCACCCCTAGCACCCCTCCATCCCGCTGGCTAGCTGCTGGGCCGCCCAGGACTGTCCTGAAGGGGAGAGAGGGACCCACAGCCACGGTAACTGGGCCCCCCAACCCCCACCTTGCAGTGCTTCCACTGGAGTGGGGGCTCCGGGGGCCTGGTGGGACCCTGGGTGGCTCACCAGTGCACATGGTGCCTCTGCGTCTCTCTGTCAATGGCCCCCTCCCCACCCCTCCCCAGGCCCCATGGAGATTTGAGGGCCTGGAGTTTGTCTTACATTTTCAAGGCATAAAAACGGGCCAGTGCGTAGTGTTCAACGGGACCCACAAGACCTGTGAGATCAGGGGCTGGTGCCCAGTGGAGAGTGGTGCTGTGCCTGTGTAAGTCTCCCCTGCGTCCTCCACCCCTGCCCCAGGACCACAGAGCCTGCCACTCACCACGCCCCCCACCCCCCCGCCCTGCCCCCTGCTCCCACAGGAAGCCCCTGCTGGTCCAGGCCGAGAACTTCACGCTGTTCATCAAAAACACCGTCACCTTCAGCAAGTTTAACTTCTCCAAGTAAGGTGGGAGGGTCCTGGCTGGTCGAAGACCCTCTGTGTCCCCTGCCTGGCCTGACCCCCACCCACCCCTTTCAGGTCCAATGCCTTGGACACCCAGGACCCAACATATTTCAAGCGCTGCCGCTAGGACCCACGCTCCAGCCCCTCCTGCCCTGTGTTCCGCATCAGGGACCTCATGGCTGCAGCTGGAGGGGTCTTTGAGGACCTGGCGCTGCTGGTGGGTCTGTGGAGGGGGCAGGGTTCCAGCAGGGCTGGGAGAGGGCCCCCGGCCCCAAGCCGGTGGAGCAGTGCTGTGCTGTTTGCAGGGCGGTGCCATGGGCGTCCACGTCCACTGGAACTGCGACCTGGACACCAGGGCCTCTGACTGCTGGCCCCACTACTCCTTCCAGCTGCAGGAGCGGAGCTACAACTTCAGGTGCGGCCCCCACTGCCCACCTGCTCCGAGCCAGGTTCTCGTCTGCCTGTCCTCCTGTGGCGGCCAGGACAGACCACCCCTCCCAGAACTCTGGATGCCCACTGTATGTGGGAGGGGGGCCCAGGGGAAGGAGGAGGTGGTCTCAGCTCCACGGCCCCCAACACAGGCTCCATCCAGCCTCCCTCCTGAGCCCTATCCCCTCCACCCCGCACCCCTGCTGCTGCTGGGACCCCTCCCCCAGCCCCTCCTCCCCCATCCTGCTTCTAGCACCTCCCTCCACTGCACAGGGGGCTTTCTTTTTTACTTTTCCCTTAAGATTTTATCAAAAAAATTACAAAAATCTATAGAAAAGTTCAAAGATTAGTACCGTGAACACCCATATAGCTGTCATCTGGGTTCACCAGGGTTTTTTTTGTTTTTGTTTTTACCATTTTGACACGTTTGCTTTCTCTCTCCTCTCTAGACTGAGCTGGATATATTTAGATAGATTTCAAACCAAACCATTTGAAAGTAAGGAGATGTCCGGCAGGCACTCACCCCTCCCCAGGCTGTCCTGAGAATAAGGACCTTTCCCAAGTGACTGCTGTCCTGTTGTCACACTCAAGAAATTTAACATTGGCAGAATGAATCTGATATTTAAATTTCCCCAATTGTGCCAATAATAGTCCGAAATCTTTTTATTTTCCAATCCAGGGTGTATTCAAGGAACTTGCATTGCATTTATTCTCATGCCTTTGAGTCTCCCAAGCAGACCTTTCCCTGCTGCTGCCCAGTGGGATCCTATGTTTCTGCCACCTCATGTCACCTCGTCACTTGCGTGCACACACACACGAGCACACACGTGTGTGTGCTCGCGCACAAACACACACGAGCGGACCTTGCCTGGACTGGTTTCACTGACCTCCCCTGCCCTTTGCAGCTATGTGGAGCTGGCCCCCACCCATGCTCTGCTCCCCTTAGCTCTGTGCTCTCGCTGGTACTGCTTTGTCTAGAACTCCTTCCTGATCCCTGGAAAATCAACCTGCGTGTCCCCACTGCAGAAAGCCTTCCCTGGTTCCCCACTCTGGGCCCTCACAGCCCTGGGCCTGCCCCGCAGCTCCCCCCACCCCCACTGCAGGCGTCTATTTAGAGACCCCTCTACCCCATCCCCTCAGCAGGCAGGGAGCTCCTGAGAGGCGGGTCCTGGTTGCTCT